ATATGGTCTTCTACTAGGTTACGAGAATGACGATGATTTCTCTATGGATGCCAGCACTGACTATGTAATGGACAATCTGGGCATGATGAATGATGAGCAGATGGCATTGTTCGAGGAAGTCAGGACGGCGATTGCGATGCAGCGTTCAGCATTGTATTTCCTCGACGGGCCGGGCGGTACAGGCAAGACATTTACGATCAACACCATTCTTCATTACGGTAATGCAATGCGGGTTCCATTTCTGTCGGTTGCATCCTCTGGAATCGCTGCATTGTTATTGTACAAAGGTACCACGGCGCACTCAGCGTTCAAAATTCCGTTAAATCCCGACGACGCTTCAGTGTGCAATTTTAGTGGGCGAGATGCAGTGTCCAGACGGTTGCAAGAGTGCAAGATTATCGTCTGGGACGAAATTTCAATGCAGAATAAGGCTGATATTCATTGTGTCAATCGCTCTCTCATGGAATTGCGGAAAGTGGACAAGCCATTTGGTGGAATTATAGTCCTCTTCGCTGGAGATTTTCGTCAGACTTTGCCGGTAATTCCGCGCGCCACGGTCCCTCAACAAGCAACTGCGTTGTTACGGAGGTCTTATTTGTGGCCTTTGGTGGAGCAATTTGCATTGGTGATCAATGTACGTCTACTCGGCGCCGAAGGAAGACGCCCAAATTCACTACGAAGAAACGCCAAATATGCCGCTTGGCTATTAAAATTAGGATCCGGTGACCTTCAAACCCAAACGCAATCCACCGTTCCAATTGATCACATCAACGTTAAATGTGTCGCACCAAATAAACTTTACGACAAACGAATGGTGTTGAAGTTATACTCCAAAGTCAACGCTTTGAAGGTCGCTGGAGATTGGGTTCCGTTAGCAGACTTTTACGCGGACAGGTGTATCATAACACCACTGAATCAAACGGTGGTTACAATTAATGAAGAAATACTAGAAAAGCTCGACGGTGAGACATTTGTGTCATATTCAATTGACACCAATGATGATTCGACGACATGCGAACCCTTAACACCTGAAATGCTGAACTCTTTCGCGGTTCCAAACTTTCCAATTCACGAGCTCCATTTGAAATCGGCGATGCCAATCATTTTATTACGGAATCTGAATCTCAAACAGGGTTTGTGCAATGGCACTAGAATGTTAATTACTCACGTAGCGAGAACGTATTTGTCATGCAGGATTATTACTGGGGCGAAGAAAGGCAAGAAGGTAACAATCCCACGTATCAATTTACATCGCACTGGCAGCGCTATTTGTCCATTACCGTTTTACAGATATCAATACCCAGTTGCTCCTGCATTTTCTATGACGGTGAATAAGTCTCAAGGCCAAAGTCTTAATCATGTTGTCGTCTTTCTACCAAGCCCGGTCTTTTCGCACGGACAATTGTACGTAGCGCTATCGCGGTGCACAAGCGTAGAAAACATCAAACTATGCATGTCGGTCCCGAGTACAACAAACGCGACTATGAACATTGTATACAAGAATATATTGTCTGACGGCTGATAACTTTTAACGTACGTTGAAGTTGCCAATATAATGGCACGACTACTCAGCTGACGCGCCATTTACTTTCATCGCAGAGCCGCCTGTGGTATCGACGGGAGGCTACGGTACAAGAATCAATGACGATTTTGTGGAAATTGCCTACTATGTTGACGGCTGATGGATGCCGGTTTTGGCCGGCGGTAGGATTAGTTTTTGGAAATGTAGCCTGGACCAATATCAAATCTCTATGTAGTGCGTTGACAATTCAAGCAATGCACATTACCGTATTCTGCTTTGACTATGCTGTGACGAACAACTCTACTAAATTGCAGTCGCATTCAGGTTGTTTACAATCGTGACCGCATGGACAGCATGATACAACTGCACAGAAATAAATTCCCACACACTCAGAGTCATAGCGAGTGAAAACATTGTCGTAGTTAAATGTATATGCCTGGCTGATGCCGAATCGATGGATGGAGTATTCATTGAGCCAAATCATAGCTCTGAGTTGCAGTGCATTATTGAATATCACTCATTGCCTTGACACAGTGTTACCTCAATATAGTGACACAGACACTTCATGCTGTTGAGCCCATGATCGACATGATGCAAATAGTGACAGCTTTCAATGAAATACTGCAAAGACGGATAATAAAGGTAAACACTTCCAAAGCTATGGTGGGTACCAATGAACTGAAGCATTGTATAGCTCAATGATATGACCCTTATAGCGACAGAATCAATGATGACGCTGCCGGGACAGAGCCGAAGGGCTGCGATGGATATTGCTGAGTAGAAGTGCAGCGGGTCAGTTAGTGTGCGATGTAATATAAAGGTAAAGTCACGATGACATAAATGTATATAAAAACGGTGTCACAAAATAATGTATCAATGCCAGCTATGGCGCCGCTTTCAGTGTCAAGTGCGGAGATGCAGTACTCTCAGGGCGGATCGTAACCAGGGCCACTATGACGCAGTTCAGGATGTCGTATAATCAATCCGTTGTGAAGACTTCCCAACCAATGACAACATTACATGAACATCAACAATGAACATGGCACGAAGGCAAAATATCCCAGTCGCAATGAATGGAGGCTACCTGCCACTACGCTTGACAGGTATATTTTGGGTCGGAAATGCAGTAAGTCGCGAATATCGGCAGTGAACAACGCTAACGCACCACTTCAGTTGGATCTTCCTAGCCAGGTAGTACAAGGACAACGATCATACGATTGCCAATGCAGTGCAACAAACACCAATTTCGATATACTCCATCTAATACTCACAGAGGACGGTACCCACACCATTATGACCTCGGACAGCGCGTTCTTGATGAGCGGCAAAATAATGCAAGACGACAGACCCTGGCATAATGTATTGAAAGTGGAGGCCAAGAGCGTCGTTGCCATTAACGTAGATCGCGCCGTTGCGAAATCACTATTGGGTCAGGCGACGGTTGTCGGTCGTGGTCGAATAATGGAAAAAACAGTCAATTTTGAAGGAACGAACAATACCTCCTTTAGAATTTTGCATTCATCGTGTGATCGGTACGTGCTCTGGAGGGTTCGAAAATCGATGAGCAGTTGTTGACAATAGGCTGGAGCCTCGGCATAGGAACCAAGACGATGTCGAATACCTCTGTGATACCGAGACGTTGTCTCAATTCGACCTGCATCTGATGCACAGAGGGAACATCGTTAGCGTCGTAGGTATCGTTATAGGTTTCTCATCTGCTGGCGGAACGAAGTGGCATGTAAAGGTATGTACTTCGTGACATTGCCAGTGGTCCACGCTGACGACGCAACAGTTGACCGACGCATGGTAGTATTGACGACGCCTTGGGATGTTGCGTTGATTGGCTGTCACGATTCATTGGGTGGGATGTTATTGCAATAGAAGAACGATAAGGACGCGGGGTGACCCTCGGCAGATCTGAGAATAATTCAACAGCATCGATTCAATGTATTAGTGCGTTACACGAAGCCGCTCATTTTGTATTTGAACATTGCACATAATCAAGTCAATGTATTAATGTATTACACGGAGTTGCTGATTTTATATTTAAAGGACTGCTGTCAAAAACATTTTATGAAACAGGACGTTGATTGTCAGTAATGCTTGCCGGTGCATTAGACAACAAGAACAATCAATGGCTGAAAGACAGCATACGGGTAGTCGGTCACAGTGCTGAAGTTTATGCCCTAAGAACCTCGCAGTGACAACTACGACGTCACTGTGCCGCAAGCTGCTGAATTATCTAAGAAATATGAGCACAAAGCGTGAAGTCGAATAGGAGAGGAATAACTATATAAGTAAGTGAGCTACGGTGCGATCGATGACTGTCATCGCTCGAGGTGGCCCGCGGTTTTGGTACTCAACACAGAGTGTTATGTATTGGGTATACATCAAAACTTGGACTCCGGGGTTTGCTATTATTAGAGAACGGCATTGTGCCAAAACGGTGTCTTGACGGTCGATGCCCAATGGAAGAACAAGATCAAGATTAAAAGTCGTCAAGAGTCCGTGAGCAGAAACCTACAAACTGGGTCAGCGCGTAATGTAATCATTGTCAGCGAGACTAGACTCACTGGCAGTGGAGGTCGGCCACAGATAGTGAGCGTAGACAGAATGAAGTGAGCATTCGACGTGATGGGCTGAGCATACATTGTTTCCGCGGCGTTGTCAGTACTACGCGACAACGTAGAACAGAGAAAGCCTTACAGTGGAGTCTGATGTTATCGCGGGGATCAAAGTGGGGGTAATGCGTGTACTTGAGCTGATAGCAACGTATGTTTGCATTGACATGGTCGGTGATAGCGTTACGATTCGAGGTAGAGAGATAGGACAAAGTAGTGATATTAAGTGACGGGACATTGGTTTTATTCTTGAAGCTCGAGCAGAGCGCTGATTGATAAGTGCGGAGGACGGCTTGGAACAGCGCGAATTGCAACAAAAGGGGCTTATGAGATCGGCGCATTAACGCATTATTTCGGACTAGACCAGTTGTAATCATTTTTCTACTATTTACAACGCGATGTCAGCGCGACGAAACCCGTCACCAGCGATGCGAAATTGTTTACCGAGAGGGCGGCTGGCCGCCCCCGATGCTCTAGTCCGTGTTCAATATTTACTGCTTGAATGAACGTGACACGACGTAAACATAAAGGTGTTCGACTCGACTCGACTCACAATTGACGCGCGCCACCAGTCTTCGCTTGAGACATCGCTGTTGCCTCGCGAGAGGAATGTCAGAGAATCAGTGTTTCCCATGTGTTTTGTTAAAGAACGTCTTGTGATGGAGAGCCATCGAGCGATGAATGCATTCTAACCATTGAAATAGAGGGAGCTACAACATGAAATGTGACACTTGGAAAGAAAAACAAAGGAAAGGAAACCAAATTTGAAGGAATATAACTACATTGTGTATCGGTACTAGTCTGTAATACAAGAACCGTGTGATCACAGGAGCCGTGAAAGGTGACAAGAGGGTTCATCAAGGTTTGCCGGTTGAGTTGGTTGCAGAAGTTTTAGGAGCTGCTGCGGTAGAGGGAGGCTTTGTAGCAGAGGGATCGGTGGTTTTGGGACCAGGACCCATAGGCAATTCATCATCGTGGGGAGGTCCTAATGGCCCACAGTTGGATTTACCGCTGCCTTTACTGACGGTTACGACGATGCCTCCTCCGGTTGCAGATCCACCAGCTATCACAATGGTTCCAGCCTGTTTAGAAAAAGAAAGTGAATTTGAGCGACAAATTTGAGTGTGCAACGAAACTGATCTTTGCTTACATGGGCGGGGCATGTAGTGAGAAGCTTGGCTAAACCACCATCCAAGTTGTCACCCATGCCGTATTGAACGATGGGAAGAGGACTAAAGCATCGAAGATCATTTATGTTAGTTGGTGGGCAGCGGTAAACATGACAAAGATTTCTAGCCAGATATGATGCAACGTACATCCAAAGCGGTCCGCTGTCAGTTGTGTTCAGTCTGACCTTGCAAGAACCGCACGACTTGACATTAGTTGGATTGATTTGTACAATCCAATTTCCGTTTTTCTTCTTGAGAAAACCTGAGAGAGCGCTGGGAATGATAAGTGGAAAATGAGTCGGTAGTTTAATTGGTTTGGATGATCCTAAAGATGGATTTGAAAAGAAATGAAGCTCACGAAATGCAATCAGCTGAACGAATCCCTGGGACAAGGGTCAGTTGGGGCTCGAGTTTAGGGTCACCAGTAGGTGGTGGCGGCGCAGGTGTGCAAATTGGGGCGGAAGAGACGTTTGCAGCGAGGGCTCTGGAGACAAGAACTCTCAATTCGTGATCATGATGAGTAGCCCGGGTGGCATGAGTATTGTAATCTATGGATTTAGCAGAAAGTCCACCGATGCAGAGCCCGACGGCTACGAATAATGAAGATAACATCTTGAAAGGTTATGTGGTAAGATTGATTCGAAAGTGACGAGTTGTATGGACAGAGGAAATTGTATACTGATGAAAGGGTCGTAAAGATAACTGGATGAGATGCGTAGAGAAGGTGGAAGGAGTGCTACATTTTAATCCACATGAAGAGTTTTTATATATGATGAAAGCAACCCATTCCTTCTGAGACCGCGGATTAGTTGGTGGAAGATCATACCCTGACCAACTCGGCTCGTAACCAGAACTCAAAAAAGGCGGATGAGAATCAGGTGCTTCGGGGAGCTAAAGTATCGGGCTTCCAAAATTGACACCCTACCCAAGCCAAGAACCCAGAAAGCCTTGTCAGTAGGGATGGATTACTCTCCAGCACCAAGCCACAGAACGACAGCGCCTTGCCAGTGCAAAGGGTCTTCTCCATCGTCGCGGGATGATAGGGACTCGAGGACGCCCTGCCGTTTGATGCGAGCGAGCTAATGGGTAGCCAAAATGTATCTTCGTGGAAACCCCATGATGTTTGTCTTGCACGCTTCGAGACTGCGTATGGCGCGGACAAGGAGATGAATGACCTGGCAGCGATCAGCATGGCTCTGGGTAGGTAAGTATGAAAACAATTTCGAGCTACCTCACGCCCCAATCGGCCGTTCAAGCTCAAGTGACTGGAAGCCGTCATCATCATCCACTGACCCCTAGAATCAGTGCCCTTTCCCTTACAGTCCTAGTTAGCGTGACGATGACTTTTCACATAGGTCTGAAGGATCTTGAAGAAAGTGCACAAATCCGAACAAAGTTCAATGATTGTAAGAAGAGGTGAGAACTTTTGTCTCAAGACTCATCTCTAAGCTATCTTCACTGTGACTTCCAGATGAGCATTGAGATGATCCGCTTCACGCAAACTGATCGACCCAATGACATTTGACCAAATGAGCCACAATGACGCTGCAAATGTTCAAAGAATACAGCTTCAAAAGTGAGCGACGCATGTAGCCCTGAGCCTGAGTGGGACATCCACGTAGTTGACCAATGACTAGGAAATATCTACTCCCGTAGACAGTATGAATGGTTGCGAGCTCGAAGGATCGCAGTGAATCACCCCTCTGTAAGATCATAGCAACTTTGGCGAGTTTAAAAAAACACAGCCTGGCATATTTATCTACCAAAAACCTCTGAGGTCTGCATAGATGGCACCAGCAGGCTCACAAGATGCCATAGTTCAAAGCGGCGCATAGGTTGGCCGGTGTTCCATGGACAAGGGTTTGTCAGATTCCTGATACAAGTCAAATCACTCTACAATTACGAGAATACTACCAACAACCAAGGCGAATGAAGCCTCATCTGGCCAATTTCCCTTCGACGACTCCCATATCACTCTCATTGAAGAAAAAAGTACCCAGATCATCTTTTTACAACATCTTACTCACATAAGGCCCATCAAGTTTGTATCCCAATCGAGCATACCAATGACGGACTCCCACACCTGAGATGACTGCTAGCTTAACACTTCCGTGTTCTTCTCGGGCGATCCGTTCAGCTTCTTCCATTAATAAAGTTCCAAAACCTTGATGTTGAAACTAGTCAAAAACAGAAAAAACATATATAAGCGAAATTTTTGATGCCATTCATAATGCAGGAATAACTAGAATAGCATACCTTTGTTGGATCACGACTGTGCATAGGGACAGCAGTACCGTAAACATGCAGCTCTCTAACAATCGACGTGGGTCCAGCTTCTAGCAATTCAGGTCTGAAGGTACCTTCAGCTGTACATTTCCTTAATCGTAAAAGACCAATAAGGATGTCCTTTTCACAATCCTCGTAACTCAAGAAAGTTTCCCAACCTCCATTAGCCACGTAATCACGACGAACAAGTTCAACTTCATCTGGTCTAACTTTATGATGAATCTCATGAATACCGACTTCACGATGACGAATATCACGACAAACTGCACCAAAATCTTTGAGTCGTTGTAAAGCAAGCTCTCGGAGGTTACCATTCTCAACTCCAGATGAGACAAGTGGCATTGGAATATCACGTTGGACTCGATAAATCCGGGTCCAAGGGGGCACAAGCGCCAAGATACGTGCCACGATATCTACAAGCGCATTAGGGGTATAATTTTTATATCGGCCAGTCCTCCATAGCTCGTAGACCCCTGAAAAAGGTGGTCAATGGTAAACTTCATGAGCTAATCTGGTGAAAGAAAAGCCAAGTAGGATTCCAGTATACTAACCGGTTCCTCGGATGACGAGTAAGGGATATATCTTCAATCCGTCGGAGCGAAAGGCCGGATTTTCAAAATATTCCTTGAATTGTTCGATATCTCTTTCGACACCAACGTTGGGAAGATCAGGCTACGAATTGAAGAACGGAGATATAATGAGCTCCCTATCAAAATATGTCCCCGAAGCCAAGACTGCCAATCATACGCACCATCATATGAGATACTACTTTGAACCCGGCGTCTTTGGCCATTTGAAAAGACTCGCACGTAGCGCGAACTGTGTGTCCTCGATTAGTATCTCTTGCTACATCTTCGTACACTGATTGAACTCCGATCTGATATTACAATAAGAGCCAAGAAATTGACGTGAATCAAGGTGATCTACTGGATAAGCTCATAAGAGGATTGAGATAAAAATGAGTTTCAGCACTGACCTCGAGTCTGGTACATCCGTATCTGAGCATGCTGCTCAAATGCGGTTTGAGACAATAATCTGGTCGAGTCTCAATAGTTATGTCGATACATTTAGTGCGAGCCAATTCGCTATATTTCACGGCTTCATCGAGATCTGTCCCCGTATATCCCGATAGTGAATTATGTAACTGAGCCACAAAGTTATCCCGATAACTTGCTGGTAATGACATGAATGTCCCACCCATCACGATGAACTCGACCTAAAGGAACCTTGTAAGACGGCAAGTACGGTTGGAAATGTTGACGAGACTTACCTTGTCTACTGAATGTCCAAGTTGACGTAGTTGTTCTACTCTTCCACGACTTTGCTCATAAGGATCATATCGAGCCCTGATGGCACGCATACTGGTTGGCTACATTGTGAAGAAATGCAGTGGAAGCTAGGGATTCAATAACAATTTTAGCGCTTTTCTGTGATTGAGATTGCAAACCTCATATCCAGTATAACTCTGGGTAGAGTATTCGAAATCAGAATCCGGTCCTCCTGGACAATAGCTAAAAAACCCAATGGTTTGGTTCAGTTTGATTGGTATTATTGGAGGCTGCATTGAAGAGCATAAGCTTTGTAATATAACGGACACACAGATATTCCCAGTCATGGCAATGTGCGGACAACGATGTGGTTTGCTCATCACCGCGACCACCGCAATACCAGAAGCCGTTCGGATCGGTTTTGCTCTCAATTTTGGTAACAGGACCGGCTTGAGATCTGGAGGCACAGCAGCAATCATATCCACCAGCCGAGGTAGTTGAGCACACTACATAAAAGCAGTTCCAGAAATAGGAGTCATTAATATGATTCCCGAAGGTCTAAAGTGATGCGACAATCTAGGAAGACATGCCTTATTGCGTTTTGCAACCCTTTGCCGTACGGTGTTGAGATTGACATCTTTGCCTTGTTCGTGAGCAGCGATGAGCTCAGAGATGATATCCGCGCAAGTCTTGATGAGCAGTGACATTTTCCAGTCGTTCTAGGCTAAAAGTGGAAAGTGACACAAATATTTTTGGTTTTTGAACTTTGCGATGTGGAAAATATGAAGACTTCACTGCCAGCATAGATGCCTCGGGTTGAGAAATCCGAGGCATCATCGGAGGCAAATCCTCGGACAGACCTTGTCCGAGGTTTTTGCCCGAGGTATTTTTTTGCCCTGAGAATCACCTCGGATCAAGACCTCGGGATCAGCATGAGCCCCGTTTCCCGCGGGCTCGGGGATCTCCGGCTTCCGTACCGTCGGTACAGTGCCTCGGGCTAGGTATCTCAGCCCCCCGGCACCGTACCGACTCCGACGGAGCGGGGACCGGGCAAGAGTATGAGGATCCCCGGTTTTTATCGGGGAACCAAGCTATAGCAGAGAGCTGTAGAATCGAGGGCAGATAGGGAGAAATGAAAGGTGAGGAAGGCCTTGTAACAACTCATACATCAGTATAAGGAATCAAATACAATGAAATACCTGTACGAAACAGTAGAATATCAGCCGGAACTTGCTCGTGAAGCAGATTTATGAATTTTTTTGATCTAGCAAGCTCTACCGACTAACACTCGACGGGGAACCGACGGGGAACCGATATTTTGGTAGGCCCCCGATTTTCGGTGGCGGGGGACGGTCTGAAGACGTACATGAAGATCCCCGACGGGGAGGGGTCGGCTCGGAAGCCGGGATGCATTTCCAAAAAGTGCTCGGGGTGGATTTTCGCCGGTCCCCGCTCCCGAGCGAGCGGGGCTCATGCTGACCTTGGGAAGCTTCTGTCCGAGGTTTTGCATCCGAGGATACCTCGGATTACAAAATCCGAGGTAAATATGTTGGTGGTGCTTCGAATGTATGCACCGCAATCGGGTATTTTGGCTGCACGGGGCACGATGTCCTCCAGGCTCCGACGTCACGGACAAAAACATTCCGAGCCCCGAACAAGGGCTGCCCATTCAGTCCAAGGGGCAAAAGATGAAAAAAAAAACGAATCCAAAAAGTCATTAGTATTCCCTGGCATCGACTAGATGGCCATTTTTCTAAAGTGTTGCATGCAATCAAGCCAATACGCACCTTTAAGAAAAAGACTCTCACTTTCAGAGTACTTTCCAAATGTGCTTAACATTGATGGTCTTCGAAGAATTTGGGAAAGGCAGTACATAAAATTATACACCGCTTCCCTAGGTTTTACTGTCTTCAGTCTAGGCAATAAGGGTACTCAAAGTAAGTATGTACGTGTACATACTTGTACGTGTACATACTTTTTGCTATATACTTTTTTTGGTGGGGAAGACGAGGCCAAAAGTATATTTATTTCTTTGTCCCCGCCAAAAAAAGTATGTAGCAAAAAGTATGTAGCGCTACATACTTTACTTTGAGTACCCTTAATGTCATTTGTTGTGGGACATATTGAATTTTTGATCACCCATACCATCAGATATATGACTGGTACTTGGTGATGAAACCTCAGAGATTGTGGTTGGGACGTGTTTTAACCAAAGGGAATGTGTGATTGGCTTAGGGAGTTTTGTGAAATCCAAAATCTAAAGAATCGAGTTTTTGTTCCCTAACCTTCTTTGAAGGTTCACTTGTAACGGTAAAGAGCTCTTGACGGTTTTCAGCTCTTTTTTAATAATCCTATTTGATCTCTCACAGTTTTCTGGAAACCTTGTTCTTTCCTAGTGGTCTCTTTACTTTACTTTTGTACTCATCCACATCATTATCAACAAATTTTTACCTTGTGCGCTATTCTTTTAGTCATAAATTTTTTGTTTTCAAAAAAGTAAAAAGAGTTCCAATTGTAATAAACTACTTTATCGTACCATGAGTAATGTCATCAATGACGACTCTCTTCACTTTAAAAAGATCGATGAGATTCTTGTCGAATACGATAAAGCTGGAGGAAGCAGCAGGATCCTTATGCGCGACCTCCGCGCTATCATCGCCACGGTTTTCTCAGTGTCTGATCCCTGCTTTATCTATCATTTCTCTACCATCTCCCGGTGCGCTATTGAACTTGATAGGGCTGCAGGCCGTTGACTTTACTTTATCGGCGGTTCCCCCCCTCCTCCGGGAGAAACACTGTCCTGCTTACCGGTCGTCTTGGACGCCTCCTATCAAATCCCAATCAAGGGTATTAGGCTATATCAAATGCCTCCCGATCTACTCGCCCAAGTTGATTTGGAACGGGTGGGTACTCCTCCACCCCTTGCACCAGCGCCTACTGCCTCCGGCAGCCGCCCAGCAGGTGCATACAGCACGGGCTATTGGGAATCTAGGTCTGCTTCAAAAAAATCTACCTCCCCTGTCCCGTTGGTCTCAAGAATTGGGCCAAGAGCCTCTCGAACCTCAAAGGAACACTACCGAAGTCCTCCTCAACGCCTTTTCCAAACGAGCCCAGTCAGGTTTGGTAGATCTTGGGGCGGTTCTGCGGAACAGCCTCCGAATTTCCCTCCAGAAGGGAAGGAGTTGCGTCGGTTTTGAGATAGATGGGTTTCTAATGAATCACCTCGTCCCGAGAAACAGACTGCTCCAACATTCAAGGGAAAAGGCCATTACTTTTCACCTTCACCCCCTCATCTTTTTCCATTGAAGAGGAGTCGTCGACAATCTCGTACTCCTCCTTCATCCGATGATGACTCAACTATTGAGGATCGTCATGAGGATGACGTCCGGATCCCTGTACCCGGCACCCAAAAGCCTTGTCTGTTTGCGGCTCCAATTGATGAATTGGTCGATTCAAAAGCTTCCCCTTTGGCCCAAGCCATCCAACAATTGGTCACGGTCTATAAAAGTGATATCGATTATCACGTGGACCAATTTAATTGCTTGCCCAACAAACCTTCTAGTTGGCCCACCTCACTTACTAAGGACTTATTGGAATATAAATGTATTGACCTCGAAAAGTTATGGGGTGAAATGGAGTCAAAACCTACTTCGGAAATTTTCTTTTTTGACAAGAAATCGAAGAAAATGGATGTTAAGGGTGTCACAAACCCTCTGGAGATCAATGATCTATCGGATTTCACTCAAATCTTGGAGGTTCTCCGCCACGCTTATTTGGCGGCTTTTTACTTGGCTGCTGTCCCAATTAAGGACTATTTTAGTCAAATATCTAAGTTATGCCGCCATCAATCGAAAATACACTGGACTCACGTCAAAAATTACGATGCCGAAATGCGGCAGGAATTCTCCCAACGACCATCTCTTGCATGGGGTGACTATAATGCTCCGGAACTTAGAGTTTTCAAAGGTCGCAATCTCCATGTCAAATATGTCGCTCCAACAGCGGCTATCCCGGCTGCTGCGTCTTTGTCTTACACCCAACCAAGGGCTTCTTCCGTGAAGAAAGCTCCTTCTTCAAAACCTAAACCAGCTCCTAAGAAAACGAAGCGCAATTTTCCTCCGTACGAGATCAAAGATCCGGCAGGTGTTGCTGTCCACGATCAGCCTTGCAACAACTGGAATGCCAATGTTTGCAAGAAGTCAGCTGATGAGTGCGACTACGCCCATGACGTTTGCAACAAGCTGGGATGCTTCGGAAATCATCGCGGAATCTTCTCTCACAGACGAACCTAATGCTCGGAAGTTCATGTGTAACATGGAAATTGATGCTCTCTGGGACGGTTTTTCAGCATCTGTCGATTTTTCCCTAACAGCCGAACCTTTACCTTCAGCTCCACCTCTCAGCTCGGATGTCTTTGCCACGAGAGCTATTTGACGTTCTCCTGAAATCTTCAAAATCGTAACCCCTATCAACGTTCCTCACCTGTCTCTTCTCCTCAGGAACCATCCAAACCGACCATTTGTGGATTCAGTCATCTTAGGTCTTACTGAAGGGTTTTGGCCTTTATCCAAAAAACCCTTGGATGAAGCTGCTTTCTACCCGAATCATGCGTCAGGCGAAGAAGAGGAAGCCTCCCTGGTCGTGACTAGGGATAAAGAAATGGCTCTTGGTTGCTACTCCCCCGGTTTTCAATCTTTACTCCCGGGAATGAAAGTATCTCCCCTTTGCTTAGCTACAAACGCAGTCACAGGGAAGGTCCGTACTTGCACAAATATGAGCCATGGTAGTCCCTCTCCGAATAGTCTGATCGAGAGATCTATGATTCAAATCAAGCTCGACTCAATTCCTTCTTGCCTTCCTTTTCTCTTGAAACAGCACTATATGGGTTGGACATCTATCCTGTGGAAATCGGATGTTGACTCGGCGTTTCGAATTCTGCCGGTCTCTCTTCAGTGGCAGTACCTCCAAATCGTCAGGATCAAAAACGCTTTTCATGCGGACCGATGCGTGAATTTTGGTTGTTCAAGCTCCCCCAAAATCTGGTGCTCTTTCTTTTCATTAGTCCTTTGGATTGCTTTTTATGAGTTTGGCATCAAGGAATTAAACACTTATATGGACGACTCGTGGGGTGTTTTGTCTGCATATGATCTAGTTCAATTCAAGGATCATGTGATACCTTTAAACCAGGCGAAATTTCTGGAAATCTTCGATTTCCTTAATATTCCCTGGGCCTGGGGAAAGCAGATTTGGGGTTCTGAGCTCGACATCATTGGACACACTATAAATTGCGACTCACTCTCCATTTCCCTCCCTACCGACAAACACCTAGCTTTGATTGCAGCTCTTCGCGCTTTCATTATTCCTTCTTCTCAACCTTTGGTGGCCTGGCAACGCTTGACGGGTTGGGCGAACTGGGCGGTTAACACATTTCCGTTAGGCAGGTGGGCTATCCAGTCCTCTTGGGACAAAATTGCTGGCAAATCCTTGAGGAACGCTTTGGTTCCAAGGAATAAAGCCATCACCGAGGATCTAGCCTGGCTCGCGGACACTCTCAAAGCATGGTCGGGCAGGAAGATCTTGAAGAACATTTTCTGGAATCTCGAGCTCGCAGACTTGACCTTCATTGTTGACGCCTGCACTGCCAACATATTTACCTCGGATTTTGTAATCTGAGGTATCCTCGGATGCAAAACCTCGGACAGAAGCTTCCCGAGGTCTTGATCCAAGGTGATTCTCAGGGCAAAAACATCCCTCGGGCAAAAACCTCGGACAAGGTCTGTCCGAGGATTTGCCTCCGATGATGCCTCGGATTTCTCAACCCGAGGCATCTATGCTGGCAGTGCTGCCCTACGGGCATCGGAATCTGGTGCCCAAAGATCAACGCGACCTGGAACAGGAAACTTCCCCCGCCTTCTCGGGACAACTTCTGGGCGGAACTGCTGGCTGTAGTCACGGCTATCGACATTGCAGCCTCGCTTTATGTCAGGTGCATTGTGATTTTCTCGGACAACCAGTCGGTAGTCGCGCTGTTCAGCTCACATAAACCAATCGATTCGGCACGGCTGTTATTCAGGCACGCAGTCTCTATCATGCTGGACAAGGACCTCGACATTAAGGTGAGACATGTTCCTGGAGACATCAATCGCATAGCAGATGATTTGTCTCGTCAGCGAGTGGACAACGTTTGTATAAAACTACCTTCCGCCAACCATACGTTTCTCCCTTCCACAGAACCTACCATCAATGGTGGTTTCAAACTCAATTCCTCAGCATTTCGCCGCAATGCCAACAGCTCCCAAGGCCAAATCGACGCCTCTCTCCTTCTCTGAGAGGGAAGCTTTGAACCAACATCACATATCTAAACATTTGGAAATATCAACTATTAAAAAATATGAATCAGCAACTTGTCATTTCAAACGTTTTTGCGCAGATCACGACATAGACTTTATCCCATCCAAAGTTAATTTAGCTCATTTCATCTCTGTTTCTTGTCTCCATCTTGCTCCCGGTACTGCCAATAAGTATCTCACGGGTATAGCGTACTGCATGCAAGATGAGTATCCATTTGTTAATGAAGCCAGGGCCTCCAGACGGGTTTGACGATCGGTTCAAGGCTGCCGGAAGCTTCTATCTGTCCTGGTTGTCCGAGCCAAACCTTTCACTATCAAGGACGTTCACCTTTGCGCGGAAGTGTTCTCTTCTTCCTTCGACAACCAATTGTTTAACACGATCATTGCCTTGGGTTTTTCTGCCTTACACCGCCTTGGCGAACTTGTAACTTCGGACTCTGTTGAATTACAAAACAATCACCAAACTATCCGACGCTTGTCTCTCCTCATTTCCGAATGCAACTCAGCCGCCATCTACACCCTGCCTTATCACAAGGCTGACAAATTGTATTTAAGCTCCGACATTGTTATCTTAAAACGCAACAAGGATCCAACCTGTCCTATCCTCACACTCATGACCTATACCCTGAATAGGGACCTCCGTTTTTGAAGCAAACCATTCTGGCTTTTAAAGGAGGACGGTTCAATCCCAACTTGTTCCTGGTTCATTTCCCGACTCAACTCCATCTTCCACGGATCTCATACAGGTTACTCTCTGAGAACAGGGGGTGCCACGGCCTTGGCTCAGGCTGGGATGCCAATGGAAACTATCCAGTGCATCGGTCGCTGGTCCTCCAAATCTTATCAAACCTATATCCGTAATCACCCCTTAATGAACCTGTTTGCTTGTCGCAACAATCCGATTTCTTCGGGTGCCACTCTTGGGGAGCAGTTGATTTTTCCTGGCTCATCTCGCGTGAGTCCAGCTTCGTTCTCCAAAGATTACAAAAAGTCTAATCTTTTTGTCTAAATTCTTTTTCCCATCAGTCCCGTGTGGTCACACAGACTTAAGACAGTATTTCTGGTTCAACTCCATTAATACCAGTGTTTGGTGTGCAGTTCTCACTACTTATCCTATAAATTCTCGCTGAATTTTCTTGTTGTTTTTTGGCTCTCAGCCGAACTCTTACAATTGTGGTGGCTCCAGTCTGGTTTTGCCAGTTCTGGGTCCATTCCCACGCGGTTCTCCCGTGTTTTCAGCGTCGGTGGGTAGTTTCACTGCCTCATCCGTAATCCTCGCTAAAATTCTTGTTCATTTTTCAGTTTTGTCTAAACTCGAAATTTTGTCACAAAAACTCCTGTTTTCTGTGGGGTGTGAGAAATTTACGATCAACCATTTACGGTCATTAAAGACCGCAAGAGTTGATGACCGCAAAAATCAATAGTTTCCAAAGAAAAAAATATATTTACGAGCAATCTTCATTTTTGCAAGCTCGCAAAAAAAAAGATTGTAAAAAGATGACCGTAAAATTGAGCCACAGTTGCCACTTTCTACAATTTTGCGAGTCATGTTTTGCGGACTCTATGATCCGTAAATCAAAAATCCCGTAAAAGTATAAAAAGTCACAGCAATATATAATTTTGCGACTAATACTTTACGGTACATATGCATTGTGAAAAATCGTAAAACACAAGCATCGCAAAAGTGAAAAATATTGGCCGCAAAATATAATTTTGCGATCAAGACTTTTACGGTTGTTAAAAAAAGACAATGGTGTATTACGTCAAAAAAACAAAAATCAAGAAAAACTGACACATGCGAAAAAAAATACGGGCACACTACAAGAACGAGACAAAAGAATGAGTGATTAAGAAGAATTAAAAAAGAAACGTGAATGAGTGACGACCAAATTTAAATCATTAAGAGAATAAAAAGGTGGCAAATTAAACATGAAAGGACATGATATGAGAAAGGACATGATATGAAATAAATAAAATAAAAGTTGAGATAAAATAAGCTGTTACGCCATCTTACGCTTGTTACGCTTCGATTTACGTGCGCCATGAGGCTCATCAATGTCGGCCTCCTCCTCGACCATCGCCACCTCCACCTCTTCCTCCTCTTCCTCCACAATCGCCCATCCCTTCCAACCTTTGGCTCTTTTAGCACCTTTACGTAGTATGTCTTCTTTGTTCAAATGAACTCCAACCTTGTGCACACTGTCTTCAAGTTGTTGTTTCAGTTTATCTTCCTCCTCTTTTTCGTGTATCCTCCTTGGCCTACCACGGTTACGCTTGATTGCCTTTTTTGAAATAATACTCTTTGCCAACTGGACATCTTCATCTGCATGTTCACAATCTTTAGATAAGAGAAGAAGAGAAATAAGCAATCAAGAACATCAGAAAAGGAAATAGTGATGCTTACCTGGATTTGGTTTGTTGCTGTTTGATAACTTTTTCCTCTCCGCCAACGGAACATTTTCACCATCACAAATTGTCCGACGCTTTCCTTTTTGTTTGTTTTTGTTTGTTAACTTTTCACCCTTCGCCACATCTTCATCTTCACCTTCTGTCTTATCTTTCTCAGATTCGATACGTGCTAAACAAATGAGAAAGAAAGAACTATCAATCAATGAGAATGAATAAAGTAGAAAAATTATTTCACCTTGTTCGTCTTCTGCAAGTTCTTCAAATTCCTCATCAACCGTTTGTGAAAAAGGTCGAACCAGTACCTCTTTCTGCCTCAGAGACTGGTTGATTTTGGTGGTTGCAGTCTTGATTATTGATGACTCTTTTGGCGTAGGAGCTCGGGAATACATCACCCAAGATGTAAAAGGTAAAGGTCCACCAATTGCCTTCAAATCCGTGGTGAGCAAAGTGGCTATTCCCGCGTTTTCTAGATCATTGTGTCGCCATACACCAGTGAGACTTCCTACTGTACGCACCACTTGACACCAATAATGGCTTCCATTCCAAAAACCCCGAGCGCGCATCAAATAAATAGTACCGTTGAGGATCATTTCATATGGTAAGTCGCATTCTCTCATCATTTTGAATGCTTTGGTGGAATTAGTTTGATGAACATAAGCAACATCTACTTGTATATGTAGATGAGGAGGTGGGGTATCAAAGAGTAGTTGAGAGTGAAAAACCTCATAAGGCTGCGCATGAGGGTTCTTCTTTGTTTTGCAGCTTTTACAGTATTGTTGTGAAGATTGATGGTAGCCGGTGGTCGCCCATTCATGGAGCACTTGGGGTGTATCAGAATAAGATGTACCGTCGTCAAAATTTTCGTGGGATAAGATAATAGAGTTGAGTTGAGAGACTTCAACTAATACATGATCTTTGTTTTTTGGACACGTATACGTTCTTTTGAGGCCAACACGGAACAAAGATTGAGTGATAGCTGGAGAGGCTGGCTCTTTGGGTCGGGTTTCTCGATCAAATATTCTGTTGAAGTATTGATCAGCAGATGCATATTGATCCGGTGGGAAACTACCTGGACATCTTTGTTGGATCGCGGCGTGGAGCGTGTTTTGTCCATTGGAAAGAATTCCCCGGATCTTTCCTGCCTGACCCATTTCCCAGGTGGACCTGGACGAAAACAGCTTCATCATCTTAGAGTAGATGTGGTCAGATTTCCCTGTTGACTTCGTGTACCAAATGGCCGTATGAATTGCATATAAGCATTCCGTCATTGAGTCGAGCCAGCACCGAAATTGGCGACCTGGTGTTGTCGAGGCATTAAACCCTTGGTATGTAGTAACTGGGTTGCGGTCAATGTTTAATGACCCTTTAGGCCGTCCAAGCTTTTTGGGTCGTCCCAACAAAGCGTCAGTGGTATCTGGTGGTCTTCCATCATTCTTCGCTTCGCACTGCTTTCGAGTCTTCTTGGACCATCCTAATAGCTGAGCAACCTTCTTTTAATTCTTAGCCTCGTCACCATAAACTAATGGAATGCCCCGAAGCCGGTCCTCGTGGTCTCTTTCGAGACAGGCAACCAACACATATAACTGCACAATACCAATTTGTATTGTGCAGTTTCCTCCGCTGCAAAATAATAAAAAGAAAACAAATATGAATAAATGTGATTAAAAACGCTGAAATAAAAGACACCCACGATATCATGTAATATACTCTATGCAATGATTCCTGTGCATTAGTTGTTGTTGGCATGATGTCGTCACAAAGACCATCATCGTCAATTTTTTTGAGTCTTGATTTGAAAAGCAAAGATTTGATGTCCGAAGCTTTCCACCATTCAAGCCACCGTTTGGCCTTCAGGAATTCCTTGATCATTTTCACCAATTTCTGATCAAAGGTCAGACCACCAGGGCGATCAGCTTTTAAAAGTGATGAAGCTTGTGATTCAAAAGAATCCTTTTAAGCGAGAGCAGAATCAAACATTGTAGTAAGTTCTCTATAATAAAAAAATTGATAATTCGAATTGATCACATACCTCATCATTTGGGGGTATGATCGCCCGGTTGCGCTTAACACGGGTCACCTGAGCACGAAAGTGTTCATGACACCCTTGAAGTTTAGACAGTGCTATGGCACAATCATTCTCCTTGAATACCTTCATGTAAGCCTTAATGAATCCGTTTTTCTGCGCCACAGAAAAATCAATCACTTGGCGGACAAGGGTATCACCAACGCTCGGACCTCAGCGCTGTGATCACGGTAAACGGTACGGTGCGGTACGGACCTCACCGTACCTCAAATACCTGTTGGACATTGCGGTCACCCCGTACCGTGCTCTGTTTATCAAGTATCTGGTTACGGTGATCACTACGATTACGCCGCAAATTGACAACGGTCACCGCAGCGTGATCCGTAGCCGCTACGGTCGGCTACGGGTATGTACCGGGCTTTTGAATATCCGTGCCTTGGGTTTCCTTTCTGGGTGTTTCACACACCCGTTCCTATTTTTTTCAATCACAATGGTACCTATTCTTCTTTTTTTTGATTGCAAGGGGCCACCACATCCCAATTGGTCCTTCTTTCCCCTGCGTAGCCCAACTAGCACGCAATGGTCAGCTAGAATTCAAGGATTTGTTTTGAAAAGGTCAGTTTCCGCCCAGTGACTTTCTTAATTTACTTTCACTCTTGACTTCTTCATCATCGATTTCTCATATTCTAATACTATTCTTCTATTCTTCGTATTGATCATCAATTCCTTTTCTGTTTCTGTTACCTCGCTTTCATTATCTTTATCATGGATAGTCCTGGTAGTAGTTCTCCTACCTCACCCGGTGCATCAACGTCCCTCGCTGTCCCGAACTCGACTCGTTGTTCTACGCGATCCAGCCCTCGCCGCCAAGAAGGACCATTTGTATCGACCTCTGGGGACTCACGTACGGCTTTGAGTCGACCCGAAAGACCTGTGATCATCGGCATCGCCTCATCCAAAGATGAACACGAAGTCACACCCACACCCAAACATCCAAAAATCAATCAGAAGCATTCCAAGAAACGAAAGAACAGCAACAAAAGTCAGGAAGGCAGTAAGAAGAAGAGAAGCCAAGCGCCTGCAATCAAGGTAAGTTCACCATCAACTCTCTCTCTGTGACTGATGCATCTATAACTTTATTGAAATATATTTCATTTAGGACTTCACTGCTCCATTCCAAATTCATCTCAACACGATAATGAGCTGACCGACTACTTATCGGGCAAGTTTGGCATCTTGCCCGATGAGAAGCCTTTAGACTGGTGGAGGGTGAGTTTGTTTGATGCTTTGATCAGCAAATCAATTTAAAATGAAATTCTTTGATGACACTTTTGTAGAAGCACGAGAAGTCCTTCCCGGTGCTGGCGTCAATGGCACGGGACTACCTTTCAATCTCGGCAACAACATGCTGTGTGGAGCGGTCATTTTCGTCAGCTGCAGACGTTGCTGCACCTGGGCAAGGCTCTATCCTTCCCAATACCATCACTCGGAAGGTGGGATGCAGGGAATGGATCAAGGGTGGGATTGTGCCAACAGATAAGTTTGAGGATGGGGTCAAGTATCTCAAGGAGTACGAGGAACAAGAAAAGAAGAAGAATAAGAATAAGAAATAGTTTGATTCATATTTCTTTAGTTGTTTTTCCTCTATGTTTTTTTTATTACTTTCATTGTGTTATGTCTTTTTGTTTTGACTGTCTCGTCACTTCTTGATTCAAGGTATATTTTTACAAGTTTTTTTTACAAGTTTTTTAAGTTTTTCAAGTTTTTTTGATTTTGACCGATTTTCACCGTGATGGACCGAAATCCGAGTCTCAGATTGGTAATTGAGGTGCGGTACGGTACGGTCTGACCGTACCATAGTGAGATTTCGACTACGGTCACCCCTCCTTAACGGTACGGTACGGTAGCATTGAAAACGGTCTACCGTAACGTAGTGACAGAACCGCCGTAATCCGTCGCGTTACGGTGAGATCCGAGCGTTGGTATCACATTCTGATGCAGTCACATCGGCGCGTTTCATTTGCTTCATAAGAGTTCGGAAGTGTGAGGCGTAGTGTTCCTCACTAAGTCCTTTGAGCCCGGTGAGTTGAATAGGAATCCAACGTCGGAGATCCTTGTGGTACATGGAAGTTGATAACAGGTATCCATTCTTGAAAAACTTGTAAGTTACGTCTGATAGTAGCCCGCCACCATAAACACGGTTGTTTTCGTCTCGAGCCAAAAGCTGCTGTTGCATCCATTCAGTTTGGAAGGTAAGGTGCATATTGTGACGCTTCATGGAGACGGATACCACAATCAATCCGCGTCTGGAAATGCAGTAAAATTGATAATTAATTAAAACATTATGATTAAAGAGAAATATACAAATTTAAATTAGAATCTACTCACTCGGCCCAATGGTCCATATCCAAGATGAAGTTATCAGCCGCGCCAGGAAGTTTTTTTACGGGTATGACACCAGCGGCTTCAAGGAGCTTGCGTCGATAATAACCTGTTTGATGTAGGTTTCCATAAGTGCCATGGATGTTGGAAGCAGTGACGATCTCCTGCTTACCTGCAGGAGCTCGACCCACCTGAAATGTCATAAGTTGCCGTCAGCCTCACAGATGACTGCATGAACAGAGTAAAAACCACACCTTGTGTTGTAATGGCCCTACCCCCGGGTTTTCGACAACCCGTTTACCAAATTTTGCCAAAGACAATTTGTCTGGCTTACCACGACGGGGCCATTGATGTTGATGGAATCCTGAGTGTCGGATAATTCCCCATCCGCTCTCATGTTCGTCCAATTGACACAAAGTGTTGGTACACGCCAAGTACCGAAGATTGCCAGGACATCGTGCCGCTGGGCATTTCTGGGATCTAAAAATCCAATGGGTAATGGAGGCATGATCATCAGTCAGTATATCATAGGCAAAGATATAAAACTAAAGCGATGAAAGTCAAAATCAAAAAAAAAAACTCATGTGCTCATCCAATCACCTCGTTTGGCAGCTGATGTCGGTGGCGAGCCGAGATATTCACAGTGTAGGCTATCACAGACTATCACACCTAAGCAAGAGTATCTTACTGTCCGCCAGTCCACTGGTCCTTTGCTTTTACCTCCAGAAGAAGTATAAGCAAATCCAAAAGTTCCCCAGTTGACAATTTTCGGCTGGCCAGGTTGCTTCACAAACACCGTATTTCCATTGGGAAATAACGGATAACCTTCATCGTCGAGTGTATTGTTCTCGCCTATGAAGGTTTTGTAAGATGCGCGGTCAAGAGGTAAGCTGAATGTCTTCTTCCCTTGTTTGATCATTGGCTTGGTTGAGGTGGAAGAATTCGAAGAATTTTTTTTGTTTTTCTGAGTATTGCTGATGGTTTTCGCAGACGAAGAGAAAGTTGAAGAATTGGACAAATTCCTTTTCTTTTGCGGAGACTTTTGCGGCGGAACTGGAAGCTGTTTTGTTCCACGTTTATAAACTTTGAGGGTGGCTTGTGGTTGGTCTTTTCCAAGTTCTTTGATGTCACAGCTTTCGTCATATTCATCATCATATATGTTGACTTCGTCTTGTTTGTCTTGTTCACAAGATTCAGAGTCCGTTTCGTCTTCTTCGTAAGCGTCAGAGTCCGGTTTGTCTTCTTCATGAGCCTCAGAGTCTTGTTTGTCTTGTACTTCGGCGTCAGAGTCCGGTTCGTATTCTTCTTCATAAGCGTCAGAGGCTTGTTTGTCTAGTACTTTGCCGTCAGAGTTGGCTATTTGTGAAACTTCTTCTTCTTCTTGTAACTCGGAGTTGCTGCTAGAGTCGCTACTACAGTCACTCATTTGGTTTTTGCGCATTTCGGTGATAATTAAGGTAAGATTGATAAGGAATAATGGAATAATATTAATGAGTGATTATTAGATATGGTCGATTTAAGTTGGTACGATAAGATTGATTGATTGAAAAGAGGAGTAAGTGAGTGTTTGATCTTTTCAAAGTAAGAGGATATTGTTGACGAAATGAAAATGGAAGGACAGGTGCTTCTGTTTCTTCATGGAATGGCATCATGAAGACACTTCTCATGGAATTTGTTGTTGGGTGAAAGGCGTCAATCCTTTGTCCTGGATTGGTAAGAGGTCTTCATCAATCCGTTGGATTGGAAAGGTCTTTGACCGTGAAATTAATCTTTTCGTGCGAGTTTGTTTACTTTTGAGTTGATCGTTTTGCGGTGACTTTCGATGTCTGTGAGACTAGAGCCGTGAAACTATCGAAATGGGACGAATTGTGGACTTTTGCAACGTAATTCATTTGCAATCATCATGGTACATAAACATTAACTCGCAAAAATAAAGATTCTAGGTACAGGGTGGTAATTTTCAGTGCTTTTTTTGCGACTGTATTTTTTGCGGACATTCTAAATTATGGTTTGACTGTAAATTTAACTTTTCACCCGGGAATAATATACTTTTGCGGTCATCAACCTTTGCGGTCTTTAATGACCGCAAAAGGATGATCGTAAAATTCTACGATCCCGTTTTCTGTTGTTTCAGTCAACTCCCCTTCTCAGACAGTAAGTGGCACATTTTTCGTGGTGATCTTGCTGTTCTGAAGTCTGCCAGGTTGTTTACCTTAGTCTTTCTCCTCCGGTGGAGGTTATTCTTTATGACCTCTTCAGCCCTACTCGCATCCTTCGTTGCTCTTCCATCAACAGGTCTTTTTTATACCATCTACGGTCATATCATTAGTGGGTGGTAGGGCCTCAGGTTGCGCTTTCTCTTACTGCAACACACTCAGACCCTCCGGGGCCGTCCAGCGGTTAGCACTCTACAAAAACAGATCCCGAGTTTGCAAAACGAAACTTCCGTGCCTAACTCCTTCCAAGGAAGTCGCATCTGTTTGCGACAGAAAAGATCCCCGTTTTTTCTTATCCAAGACATTAATTTGAGGCAATGTAGCTCCTGATAAAGTACCTCAGGACTACTATGTAGCTTCAGTTCCAGAACAGAACTATCTATCATGATACGTGCCAATATGTATGCAAATGCTCAAGTATTTTGGATTTCTGATAGGTTGTATGTATGGCTTAACACACAAAACATCTGGGAGGATATCACCAAGAAAAGAGATAATCATTCATAGGATTGTTTTACATTGAGGATGTAGATATGAGCCCATTGCATTCAGTCACAATACAGAGATAATTGGCCAAGTGAGATCGCAAGGTGAGGCATAACATGGATCTGATTGGATGCAGTTATTGGATAAGATAAATCCTGTTAAATGAGTTACATGTTTAATTGATGAAGAGTAGTGAAGAAAGTATGGGGGAAAATCATAGGGCTTCTTGTTCAATCACTTCTCCTTGATAATTGTTGGACTGTCATATTTCCTATCCAAAGCCCGAGTCAAGTTGATGGTCGACATCTTTCGTGGCTGCCTGATGCTGTGCAGTCAAAGAGACAGAATTTCCGACGGCTTCAGTTAGCTCGCTTGATCATTTATAATCCTCCCTCATGTACGAGTAAACTCACCTGATGAATCAAAGCCCTCCGAAGTGAGCCGAATCGTCAGTTACCTCAGTCATACAGGCATCGTAATTTCCAACATGACCTCCCGCAAAGCTTGACAACAAGGAATCAGGTTTCCTTATAGGACAGACCGCAGCAGATGTACTCAGGCAGAGCATGCTGCATACAAACAATGATACTAGGCCCAAGAGCATTTTGTGAAGAACTGAGGATTTTGTGATAGATAAATTGATTTGAAAATTTTTCACGAGGAGTGTGTAAAAAAATTGGATCCGAAGAATTCGATGGATGTGCGATAAGGAGCTTTTTTAGATTTCTGGTGAAGGAAGAACGAGATGTGTGTCGGAAGGCTAGCGGTGAGCTTTTGTACCATCTGGGGCGTCGGGATATCTCTTGTAGCCTTTCTGTCTAACAAACTTGTTCAGATCCTCATGAAAACCGGCAAGTTGAGTAAGCATTGCGTCTGTCTCGAATCAGACTCTGTAGATGTTCCGGCGGTGTTGAATGGAGCTGCGGGATTATGCTGCAACTCTCGAAACCTGATCATGATGGGCTCTCCGCAATGAATTAAAAACTTGTCAAGCAAGCATACCAGCAGCGAAAGATAACGGTTTACCGATACTGAAGTTCAACTCTTGCTTGAGTTTTAGATGCCACCCTTCGCTGAATATTTCAGCTTATCTAGGATACATATTGCACAGAAAATGTCACAAAGCATTGGCAATGGCAGCCAAACTGAACAACAAAATTTGTGCAAATGTGATGGTTTTTGTAAACATGTATGTGAACTTGCAGGCAGGGGGAAGGTCAAAAATTTGCTGGCTCATCTGGCTCAGCAGTTCTGCAGGCATTCTTGACTGGGAATGAGGGAGGATCGATTGTTTTTTCCATGGTAATCGGTATACGGATTTCCGATCCGAGGTTGACATAGCAATTTCCTGTGGTGTCTGTTGTTTGACCTCTTATGGGTTCCCGAGCATCGTCTGATTCCGACTGCTCAATCACTCAAAGAATTGGCAGAACCAGTAGCGCAAGGATCAGCATGCAAAGTGACATTGGATCCTTTGAAAGCTATTTCAGGTTCTGGACGGCTGAGAGGTGATAAACATGTGATGACTACGACTTTGACCCCCAAGTCCATATCCGCATCCAAGAACGCCGGCTGCATGAATAATCATAAAACAATGTTGTACATTCATATATAAAAGGACTCTCATCACACTACACTTGCAGAACAAAATCCCGGTACCAGGGGCATCGCTTCTGCTGAACTGTCCGAGGATCCTTACACTCCTAGCAAAAGTGCACATAGAGTGTATTCAAATTTCATTGTGACAAGGTTCCCGCCTCCAAGTAGTTTACTGGGATAAGTGGGCATGTATGTTTTTTGTGTTCAAGACTCATGAATGGAAGCACATGTTGGCATAGCCACAGCGGAATGTGAAGAAGCAGCTGCTGGGCAAGTGAAAATGAAATTCTACAGCAACAACCAATATACATCAGGATAACAAGTAGAAAATGCTGATCAGAGAAGTTTCAAATGTACCCCAAATGGACTAACAACCAACCTAGTAGCATCAATGACAGGTACTAGGCCCAGGATGTGAGCACATGTACCAAAACTCAGTGGTGAGGAGACTGTCAGCAGCTACTTGGCAAGATTTGGAGAAACTTCCAATGAAATGTACAAAATCTTGAGTGATTGTGACACAGGTAAGAGTGGAGAGGAAAACAGAGACAGACAGTATGCAAAGAGAGACACATTGGAAAATTAATACGTAGTGCTGAAGAGCAGAAGTGTGATATACTGCGTGTGTGCGTGATGAAGAAGTGAAGAGAGGAGAGCATGTTTGGACCTGTGCGGGCCAAGACAAGGGAAAGTTCTCTATGGTACTCACAGCTCCCGCAGAAGCACAGACATTATCTATAACAAGAGCTGTTGAAGTCCCAAAAGAGTGTGAAGGAAGGCTGTGACTTCATATTTGATTGTCTCATAGGCCTCTGCCTTGATAGTTAGAGTTATCAGACAAATAGAATTTTTTGGCCACATCATCATACTTGAACACTTGGTGTACTTCTCATCACTCTTTCCAGGAGCCACAAGACATGTAACATCATACACAAAGATCATTTCCTACAAAAGTCACCTCACAAATGATGGTAAGAGCTTGGAGTGGGTTTCAATGAAAGTACTTCACAATGTTAAGTCAATCTGCAAGATCAGTCATGCATTGTGATTTGATTTTCAGAATTTGTTTCAACATATGCATCCCAACAAACCATCTATGGCTAGTAAATTACAATAAGTTCACCCAGCTAGTGGATCTTGGACTAGATGATAACTAAAGTTGATTCAAAGACATGGCAAAGATTTGTTGTAGAAATATGCGCCGTCAAAGATTAGTATAAGTGGCATGGTTAGAAACATAGACAGACTGAAATTAGACCTATACATATGAAAAGCTTTTGTTCATCTGGGAACTGCAAGTTGAGTTGTTTGCTCCCAAAGGTGACTTCTGAAATAAGGCATCTGATTTGCATTCCTGACCCAAGCCCAATGTTAGCCTCAAGCAGCAACTTATAAGACCATGCCAGTGTGTCTTGACAGATCTTGACACTTAGGTATTTGCTTCATACTATTACGGTACTCAAAGTTGTGTATACTTTGCTGTGCATAGTTTTCTTTCCTTTTTTCACAACTTCACACAACCAGGGAAAACTATGTTTTTGGCTTAAAAGTACACATCTTTGAGCTTCAATCAAGAAATATACGTTTTCCAAGTTGTTTGTAGTTGCAAAAAAACACAAAAAAACTATGCATGGCAAAGTATACACAACTTTGAGTACCATTTATGTTCTATACTGCTGCTTGCAGTGTAAATATGATTTGGTCAGGCTTCATCAGCTTGTTGAGCCAGGTTAGTATGTGCGTGTGACTTGTCTTCAAGACTCATAAATGTATGCACATGATGCACACCACCTACAAATGACTTGAGCTGGGGATAAGTTCATAGCTTTAAATTCTGATGACGAGTAAGCTCTACTAAAGTTCCAATTTCAGGACAAGACATATACAGGAGCGTGACGGGTTGGAAAAAAATCGGATGCCTTATGACTGCATGAATGATCAATAACAATTACAAGCTGTTAACATGCAATTCCCTTGAAAGTTGGTCAGGGAGCACACAGATATCATGAAACGAGAGAGCCGTTAAGAGAGAAATTAAAGATGCAACACAGACTTATGCGGATAACAAAAGGTAAACAAACAATGTCGACGAGGCGAGGACAAAAGAGAGGGGCTTGGTAAAGGACCCGGTGCTTGATGAAGCGGCCAAGCCGGCGCTGCCGCTGGCCGTATAGCCACCGGTACTAGTTGAGTTCGAGCTCGAGGAAGCTTGCTTGATAGTGGCCGGGACTTTTCCATCGGTGAAGTTTGCACCACAGGTGGCTTGAACAAGCTTGCTGCTGTCAGGGGCAGCAGTGCTGTTGGCCGCGATCGGTTTGATGCCAGAAATTTCGGTGTACAAAGCATGACCACAGTCATCACAGTAGATTTCCTGTGCAGTAACAATAAAAGACATAGATCGAGTGAGCACAAATATCATAGGAGAGAGGTATCTAGCAGGAGACAACGTACCTTGGGAGCTGTGGCTAACAAGGGAAGGAGAGCAGAGAAACCTTGGACGAGCATACCTTCAGCCAAGGCGACAGTGACTGGCTTTCCGGTGACCTTTTCGAGGTTGCCTAGAAGGTTGAGGACACAGTAGGTGCCGTTGGACGCATATTGCGAGCACAACAGTCCGCTACCAAACGTAATGTCATTGAAACTTTAGTAACGTCAATCGTCATGACTTGGTCGCATCGAGGCTTACTGGATGGGTGAGAAGTTTTGTACAATGGTCGCGAGTGCGATGGCTGTAGTAACGCCCTTGGCAATATCAGCGCTACATCCCTTTTGAAGAGCCGCATTGGCTGACGCCACGACGGAATCTGAGCAAGTCGCAGTTGGGCAAGTAGAAGTAACGTAATCCTTGAACAAAACAGATTTACGTCAGGACAAGAAGCAGAAAATGGTGATCAGAGAAGATGCGAACATACCCCAAATGGAGCAAGAACCGATCCAGATGCACCAATGACAGGTACTAGGCCCATGACGTTAGCACATGTCCCGAATTCACTGGTCAAGAGACCACCAGCAGCTGCTTGGCAGGTTCCGGAAAGACTTCCGATGAGCTGAGTTAGATCTTGAGCGATCGTAACACAGGTAAGAGCGGAGAGGACAACGGAGACGGAAATCATACGGAGAGAGCTCATATTGAAAGATTGATAGGTAGAGCTGAAGAGCAGAAGTGTGATATAAGACGTGAAGTAGACGAGGAGAATAAAACAGGCTGTGGAGAGAATGGATGCTTCAGATTTGTAGGAAAGGTGAACTTATAAGCTGCCCCAAAAGCTGTACAGCTTTGATCTCTGACGGAAATTGAATCACCAAACCCGGTTGATGGTCCTAATTGGAACGTCAAGACTGAAGTGAATCGAAAGGAATAGAAACTTCCACTGATATGTGAATCAGAAGCTGTATACAGACATAGCTCAATGATTTGGGGTCCACTGCACCAGTGCAGTCGAGCGTCGCAGCCGCTATGGTACGGACGAGGCCTCAGCTTTCATTCAAAAGACTCAAGCATGAGCCAGTCAGGCTTGCGAGTCGTACACTCTTCTAGTTTGGTCTTCAGCACTGGTACAGACGATACATTTAACTCATGCTCGTGTAACCTTCAAGGCCGCAGGTGCAGATTATGGAGCCTTGTGGGAACCAGATGCAGGAATGATCAGATGAACAGGACTTTGCTCTGAAGATCATGCGAAACAACAAGATGAGTTTCTCGCAGTTACGTATCTGAAAAAAGACTCCGTTAATAGCCTGACTTTGGTAATGAGGCCTTCCAGAGTCGGGTGAACCTACGGGGATTCAGCGAAAATTACACCACATGATCGATTCTGAGGGGAGAATGGATATGGTTGCGATCTGGAGAAGCTGGTGTCAGGTTGATCGATCTTTGGTTCAAACCACGTGAACCTATCAAAGTGCGTTCACCGTGATTTTCATTGAGATTTCACATGGATATCACGTGAAAGACTGGTGAAAGGTAGGACTGTGACCCGGCCTTGCGGCTCCGGTGCATTGTCCGGCCCTGAGTAGACCCAAAGGAATCCAGAAATCACTCGGGGCCAAACAGGGTACACCTTGAATCAATTGCAGGTGCAAAAACGGGTACAGGAAGGGGAAAGACAGGTGTTGCAGGACTAAGTGTATTGTCTTTTATCCAACCTGTGTGCACCTACTTAGATTGTCAAAAAACCAAAATATGTAGACGCCATTTTTTTGTTTATCTGGCAAAAAAACACAAAGACTAGCAGTTGGGGCCGCTGGAGCGCCCGCAGGGCTTTCTTGGATTACTTTTAGCTTATTTCAGTGCCCTGGGGTGCAGACTGCCTCTTCCAAAGAAGGCAGAGTTGGCCAGCAGGGGTTAGGGTTGGGTCACAGCCCTAGTGAGAACATCCTCAGACCCACCAACAAGAAAATCTTGTGTTTTGTAGGCAATTGCAAAGCTGAATGAAACCCATGAACTGGTCAGAGTTCCATGAACGGGGTTGTATCACCTATAAGAATTGCCCTAAGGACTTCAATGATCACACAAGATCCCATGGTTTAACAAACAGGAATTCTAATTTCTGACTTCATACCACTACAGTCAACCTTTTGAGTTGCATTCTATTTTTTCTCAGCACCCCTGCTTATCACTTTACAATCCACTTTAAACAAAAATAACTCCATCTATTGCTCTCAGAACCTCCTCAATGCCACCTGAATTCCCTTCTATCACCCTAATCAACCATCACAATCCGATCATGAGTTATACACAACTGAACATGGCAAACATGCAAACAAACACAAGTAATACTGGAAACAAACTGGAAATGGACTTCAATAAGGCCCCATCTACCTCTAACAAACAAATCCAAAGGCTGGAAAGGATTTTGATAAACCACCTGCGGGAATATCTCAAAAAGATTAGCACTATGGACAACAGCAATGTATTAGTACCGGCCAATCTAGCCAACATCACATCAGTGTTGGTAATCTTGATTCAGAAAACACCTATCCAAATGAACACAATGGAAGCTCAAATCAAGACAGAAATCAAAGCAACCTCAGGGATGGAAGAACTAGAGCGGTAATCCAAAGCATTACTGCACCACCAACATAGATGCCTTGGATCGGGAGATCCAAGGTATTGTCGGATGCAAATCCTTGGACAGACCTTATCCAAGGTTTCTGTCCAAGGTATCATTATGTGCCAAAGATTACCTTGGATTAAAACCTTGGAAAGCTCCTGTCCAATGTTTCAGATCTGAGTACGCCTCGGATTTCCCAATCCAAGGTCAATATGTATGTTGGTAGTACTGGATACAAGGCTTGATACTTTTATACCCCAGCCCAACCCATCTGGACTCCCAAGCAAACCACAGACCTAGAGTCCTTCCCACTTTGCTTAAACTCCCCCTAGGTGTACAAAAAAACACTAATTTGATAACAGGCGTGTTCTTACAACAGGAAAAACAGTACAATGCTCACCAACACAAAGCCCCGTGGGACAAAGAAAATTTGGGACCACCAATCTGAGAGTGGAACAGAGCCCGCAAATGGATAGTGATTAGCAAAACTCACAATGTGACATAATGCTATTGGCTGTGGGGCAACTATGTCAAGAAACCCATTGGAGAGCTATAACAGAATTACTTGAGTTTATTAGCCAAGTCAAACAGTAGCCTCACATTTGAAGCATTCAAATCCACTCAACCACAGGGCTCAAACGCTATTGCACCCCTTTGTTTACCAGATAAGACACTGGATCTGGACAAAAACAAGCAAGCTGGGTTTCTCTTCAAAGGAACAATACCAAAATATTGCCCTACAGAGTTTCACAGGAAAGATTCTGGAAACACCACTAGCAAGAAGAATAGCTCAATGGTCATAAGCTCAACAAGTGATAGCCCAAGGCCACATGCACAGACAACAGCAACACAGAAAGTTTTGTGATTCTAACCTCATGGAGTGTGAGGGTAGGGTAATCTCTGAGATTGCTCTATGCTAAATTGGGAACTGGATAGGGTAGTGATGGAATTCTATTCTTTATTTCAAATGTGTAGTATTTACAAAATCAAATACAGAAAATAAAGAAAGTCAAAGAGACTGATAGTCTGTTTGGATAAATCCAGATAGACTACAGTCAGATGACTCCTTAAAAGGAGGTTTGAATTATAATTAATAATTATTATGATACAGTATGAAGGCTGGATCCAAGGCCTTCCTTTAATCTTCAAAGTAACAGATCAAAGAGTGAGATGAAGGTCACTGATCTGGTTATTCTAAAGTTGCCAACTGGTAGTTGTTCAAAAGGTGCACTGGCCTGTGAGTTGATATAGGTCACTAACCTGTAGGTGTTCAAAAGGTGCACTAACCAGTGAGTTGTAATAGGTCACTAACCTGTGGTTGTTCAAAAGGTAGCCAACCCGAAGTTAATTGGAAGTCCACTAACCTAAAAAAATTACTTTGGGAAAGTAGAAGATCCAGAAAAAGGTGAAGAGATTACTACTTACTTTGAGTCAGGAAACTGATATTTAAAGTTATGAAGTTATCACTAGTCTTATATTTATAAGACTCTTGATGCTACTTCAATAGAACTTTAACACAAGTTCCCTTCTTCTGATTTCTTGTTACGAACCACCATAACACAGGTGGTTCGCGCGTCCATGAGAGCTTGCGGCGGGTCGTGAAATGTAAGCGTGTGAAACCCCGCGGAATGTTGGAAGGCATGACGCCTTCCAACATTTTTGGCTTGCAGAGTTTTTCACTCGCCGCTCACATCTTCACCTTTTGACCCGTGATCACCGCAAGATCTCACAGTCTTCACAAAGTGAAAGACTCTTTGCTTTTCGGGCATTCCAGAAAGAGGAAGCAGGAGCACCTCTGTAGTCCCTCTACAAAACGACCTAAAGATCTCATCACTTCAAACTTTCAAAAACTCTCCAATTACCATTAGAAACCCAATTGAATCTTTACATCGGTGATCACAATCGGCAACATGGACAAAGCCATAGCACAAGCTGAAGAACGGGCCGCGGAGGAACGAGAAGCGAGAATGACAAGGTCAAGATCGACGGCGACTGGCCTAGCACCAGGCCCCCCTCTGCAGACCCCCCGTCGCAACACAAGTCGTGGTCGGCAGCAACCCCCTCCTCCTCCTCCTCCCGCGATCATATTAGTTCCCGGTAGCGAGGATGGATATACTCCAGAACCGTCCCCCGGCCCTGACCAGACCCCCTCCGAGAACCTGGGCGACAGGACGACAATCCGTGACAGTCCTTTACTACAGTCAGACAAGGACGACGATTCCTGGGTCCCACCTATGGACAAGGGGAAAGGCAGAGCTGGGTCATCAGCTACGTCGGTACACTCGCAGGCGGAATCAGAATTCGACTCACTTGAGAACAGACCACAAGGTAATCCCTCGCTCTTTATACCCCCCCTATTCACCTGCTTCATTTCCCCCACAGTCCATCGTCGCAACCTATCGAGCACCAAGCAAACAGACGGCGCAGAGACGCGCAAGGCATAGACATGCATTGACACAGAGTCAACCCAGCTTGCATATAGCGTTAGGGGTGTTGCCTAGCCGGCAGAGCAGGTGTACTTACCGAGCTGGCTGCTCAGGTGTTGAACGTACCTAGCCAACAGAGCAGGTGTTCGAGTCCCAGAACTTCC